AAGAAAGAAAGAAAGAAAGAACGTCTTTTCTGGCATTTTTCAAGACTTCTTTAGGAAGGCGTAGTGACGTACGTATCGGTTACTAACCACAGATTAGCCACGGCAATCCGCGCTTTTTGGTAAGAGTTTTGTATTGCATACTAAGGCAAGGGTTGATATCATGTGATATATCAACGTATACTTGCGATGCAAAACAGGCTCACGCAATTTATTCAATCTCTCGATTCACGGCCTTCAAAATCGCATTTTAATGTGACTGAAAGATTACTAACTTGCCTGAACTAGCAGTCATAACCTACATACACAAATTCCCTACAGTCACTGAAAAAGCTTTACATTTTGCCTTGACATGTTTCGTAAACAGAGTAAGCCATAAGAAAGACCCTTCGAAAAGGTTAAGTAGTTGTTTACCTCTATTTGACTTTCAAGGACTTCTCCTTAAACCACTAAAGGGAGTAAGAGCACGGAAGACTCAAGCAACACCATAGGTCATCGTCAAGAACCACTTCTTGAATATTTTACATTCACACGAAATCGAGAATATCAGGAACAAAATTGAGTTTAAAGACTGATAAACTAGTTTCAAAATATTTTCAAGAACTAAACTTAGAGCTTTGCTGAGGATTTTATTGGAATATATCTAAAACTGCGTTTCGTGGTATGGTATGCCATTCGATATACAGTAACTCCTCCTTGCTGAGTAAAGCCTCCTTGAAAAATGTGGATACGATACGATGTAGGGGTCAGGAAACATTAAATCCGTATTTGTCGTGTCTCTATAAAGTGACTAAATGGCAAGAAAAAAAAAACAAAAACAAAAACAAAAAGGTAAAAAGACCATTGTATTTTAAAAGCATCCTGCACTTCCCGTACGGACTCTCAACACTCATCTTACATGTTGATTTTTACGAAGGGACGGAGGAAAACAATAAAGAGAGAAGAAATGGATAGTTAATAGACATTTCCCTTTACATTTTCGTATTGTTACATGTTCAAATCTTCACCCAAACCTCTCCCTAGGAAAAAAAATCCGGAAAGACATACACGTTCACGCTTACGTTAATCGCTGTGAAGATGAATTTAAATCCATTCGTCGAAATAAATCATTTTCGCTGTGTCAAAAAAATACCCTTCCTAGCTAGAAACTTACAGTAAGCTTAATAAAGGCTGAGTTTCCTTAAATAATTTCCAATCAATGTTGTTGGTGTTGTATTTTCTTATGGCGTCAGGACGCGTGCCTGTTAAGTGCAGTCCTGCTGTTAAGCCTTTTTTTTCGTTTTAGCTCATTGTTCATTTCAATCTAGGGGAGTTAAAGACCTTTCTTGGGGYGTTTTTTCTTTAATTTTTTTGACCTGCACTTTGAGGAATTTAATAAATTTCTTAGTGTGAGGTCCCTTATAGGAAATAAATGTTAAATGCCCATGAACAGGAAGCTAAGGCAGTATGTTTGACCTGGGGATTACCTGCCACAGTTAGGTAATTATTTTATATAAGTTGTTGATGAACAAATGTTTAATAGGTTTCTTGAAATGAAATTATGCATGCCAGTCAGTGGCAACCATATGACTAATCCGTCTGGGGGGGGGGGGGNGGGGGGGGGACTCTCTTGAAAAGTGGGTAGGGGGGCTCGACAGACCTTTTAGGGTCGAAAATGAGACCTCGCGTACCTTTTAGGGTATCCGGCTGACTACCGGCTGACTCCGTACCTTTTAGGGTCAGATTTGTTCGGTTTGAAAAATATTAAACGTCATACAAGAATATAATGGTTGGAAACGTTGTCATTTTAAATGTGGTCGTACCTCTAAAATCAGCATCTCAGTTAATTTATGCGTACCTTTTAGGGTCATTTTCAAAACCGTCCGTCGAGTCCCCCTACCCACTTTTCAAGAGAGTCACCCCCCCCCCCCTCCGGGATGACTAATAAGATCTCAGATAAAGTTCTAACTTACGATAAGGTTTTGAGTTCGTAAAAAATGGTAATAAAGTAAAATTTTCGATGTAGAAAATGGTACTGAAAAATAAAGAAGAAACGTAGCAAAGAAATAAGGGGACAGAAAAAGACAAAAAGCCTAAAAATAGGGAAAATGAAAAGGAAAGATAAAAAGGATATTTAAGAGATGACAAAGCAAGCTGTTGACAAAAAGCATAACGCATAAAAACTAGCACAAAAAATCATACCAAGAGAATCRAAAGCAAAAATAGATTTAAAAGCAGATAACGAATAAGCTTGAGCTAAAGTTAGAAAGCATCAAAATAAGATAGCCAATAAATAAGAGTGAATTGAGTAGGAAAAAATTTCAAAATCTGACATGATTAAGTTGCTTTTTTTTGGTTATTGAATGGAATTATAATTTGTTTCGGGTTTTTCCTGTTAATGAGTAGAACTCCTGCTAGTTTTTGGTTAATACGTAAATGTTATGTAGACTTATTGGCAAACAACAACTCGGTTTCAAAACTACATCCCCAAGCGAGCACTTCATCTGTTATTTATGATCTCTCTATTTTTCTCAGTTTCTAGGTAACCGTTGTAAATCACCTCTCCACAGCCAAYGGAGAAGGATGTTTACAAAATATCTAAGTCCAAGGGAAAAAGCTACCATCGATTATCGAAACCTGACGGGTTGTAATATTTCACGAGGACTGAATAACCTCTGGACCGCTTCAGACGACTTCAACTAACTAGAACTGAGAGCTGTGGAATCTAATAACACCAAGTTAAGGATTTAAGCTGGTCATTTTCCAGCACTTCACCAAGGTAAAATCATAATTGCATTTTAAACTTGTCAATGTCTGTTTCTGGTCTAGATTTTTATATCGCGCGAAGGAAACATTACTATTTAATGGAGTCCACTCCTTATTTTCCAGAAAGCTTACCAACCATTAGGTTAACTTATCTTGCTTGCATTTCTTTGAGTTTTAGTAAATAGTGTAGTTAATTAACGCTCTTGTTAAGAAATATTGTTTTTCGCTATTTTAATTATTATGTGGTATCGAATTTTGACCACCATTTTTGATTGAATTAGGCAAAAAACTTCAATTTGTACGACGAATTTCATACAAGCTCTAGGCACACGAGTCAATCAGTGCAAGGGATTTTTGTAGTTATTCATGTGAACGGCACTCGACGTATATCCATCATTGCCTTCTAAACGCACTGTCATTCGATTGCTTGTCCGGATCCCAAGCCTCTTAAACATTGCGACCAGATTTATTAAAGGTAAGAAAAAGAAACTTATCTCTTTTGTTTAAATATAATACCTTTTGTAACTGTGACAATTCGATGAGAGTGTAATCGACCAACAAAATCGAAAGGACTTACACATACTATACGCACTCATAGTCAAAACTAATCTTAAAATCTCATGAAAATTCAAGTTTAAAACTATTGCTTTCGAGGCGTTATCATTTTTTTCTTCTACATAATGTCTATTTTAGAGCTTATCAAAATACGAAGGTACAAAATATTATAAAAATCAAAGCTAATGGCGCGGATCAGATATTCTGATCGAAGACTGCAGCGACGTCTGAAGTGAAATTACAGATATTAAAAAGTACTAATGATTAACAAGATATCGATCAAGAGCCTCATAATAATACAGAAAGGCCGAACGAGAGAAGATTGCAAGAAAACAAAATAAGGCTTGGATTTCTTGGAGTATAATGAGAGCTAGGGCAATTTTTGTCGCATTTTGGATGAAACGTTTGGGTTGTTGCATTGGTTTTTCAATGCAAGAAAATTGATTTTTAAAAAGTTTTTTTTTTAATTTAAATAATCGTTCTTGTTTTTACGAGGGTAATACTTGATAGCCAGAGGCTGCTAACAAAATTGTGGCTCTCGTTCCATTATCAAATTGATTGGAAGTCAGAAGTTGATTTTTGCGGATGGAGGAAAACTGGAAATTCTATAGAAAATCCTTTAAACAAATCTACTCAAATACGACAACGAAACCTGATCGCATTGGTGAGAGGCAACGCATTAGCAGCGTACCGCATAACCCATGCTTTCCATACGATGGTGAGTAATGAAACGAGAAAAAAAAGGAGAGGAGACGAGATGAGATGAGAATAAAGCAAGGCATGGCACGGCACCTCACTGCAGAGCAAAGCATGCTACGCAAGTAAAGACATATCGCAGCAAAAATCCTATTGGAATAAACATTCAACAAACTTTTTCATGACAATATTCTTAATAAAACATTAGCTACTTTCTTGGCTAAGTGGTCCGTACCACACATTATAGAATCAGTCTGATCAGTCAAGACTAAATGTCTGGCGATGTTCTTCCGCTTATATCATTTCATCTTAGTCAACCACATGACTTGATYTTTAAAGAAGACTACTTCCATAAATTATTTGTATTAAATTGAGACAGAAGAATAGTTGAAAAGAAATGAAAGACGGGGGAGAAAAAGAAAGAAAGGAGATTCAGGAAAGAGGAAAGCAAATGATAAACACAAAAAAAAGGGGGTGGGGAGGGAGGGAGGTAGGGAGGGAGGGAGAAACAGCGAAAAAGAGAAAGAGAAAGAAAGAAAAAATGAAACTAAGCAAAACGCGAGATAAGAAGAAAGGAAGGAAGAAAGGAAGAAAGGAAGGAAGGAAGGAAGGAAGGAAGAAGGGATGGATGGATGGATGGATGAAGGGATGGAGGGATGGAGGGATGGAGGGATGGAGGGAGGAAAAGAGTAAGCGAGGAAGCTCTTTCCGCTTATTGTTTTGATCCTTTTGATCACTCGAAACGGAAAGAGCGCGCGCGCGCAAGTTGATGACGCACGGGAGTAGGGTAAGGCGAAATTTAAACTGCATTCGGTTACTAAAAATAGCCCAACCGGGAATTTACATGCCGCGCGCGTTATTAAGAACTTTTCCTCTCATATTTATGCTCTCTTGAGCGACTATAATCTTTCCGGCAGTTATAACGGCTGGCGCAATGGTGATAGCGCTCGCCTCTCACCAGTGCGACGCTCATTCAATCCCTGGACTTGGTGTTATACATGGTTTGAGTTTCAAGTTAGTTCCTGTGCTTCGAGGGTCATTTTTTCTGCTTCTTCGGTTTTTCGTACTATGCTGCAAAAATCAACTTCTAGATTCCAATTCGATCATGGAAGGAGGGCCACAGGTTTGTCCACTGGCTATAAATTATGAGTTATCCTAATAAATCATAAAATAAGGACGATTTATATCTTCATCTGGAATAAATAATAATAATTGAAGATCCCCCCGATTTTATTTTCATCTTTCAGTTTTATCTAAATTGGGCTCCCTGTGCCTATTGGGAGTTCCGCTTTTGTGGTGTCAAAATGAAACCCACTTGGAAGGAGCTTCTAGTTCGGTATTAACAGGAAGGTGAAATTAAACCTATAAGAGAAATTGAATGGTATAAAATATATTATGAATTTCCTTGCATAGTTTATTAAGGTGCGTGTTGGGAATATGCTCCGTAATTTTCCCATACAAATTCTAATAATTCTTAAGAAAGTCTTAATACTAGAGCAATCAAGTGCTTACTAAAACAATTCTTTCTCTGATAATAAGCCTTGACCACTTTGCTAGGTCACTGCTATGTGTCAGTGAATTGCTTATGAATGCTACTTCTCCTTCGGTAATGCCGAGCCGATTTAATAAACCTCGACTAAAAGTAAAACATCAATTAAATACATTGACTCGGTCTAAAAAAGGCAATACGAATCTTGGAAAGGCTTGTTGGATAGCAAGGGAACACGGTCTAGGAGCAATCTCACCTTTTCCTTAGGCTTCGGCTGAGTTTTCTGATCATTTCCCCCGGTATAGCGTTTTCCGGGGCCGAAATCTTTAGCACAATACAGCCATTAAATGTTTCGCGCTACAGTACGGCGCTTCAGCAGTCGATGTCTGACTGGTTGACTGGTCCTGGAACAATTTGGAAACTACAATAGAAACCGTAGCGGCTAAGATAAGATAAATCCTTTAACGACTGAAAATCAGTAATGTGGCCAGAAATAAACTACTTGAAAGCACCTTAAAAACCGGCAAAAAGCTTTCTTCTGTTGCAGCCTTGATTAACTCTATGAGTATTGATCAAAAAGTGTTTTTTAAAACCTGCCTGGAAGCTAACTTTGGCGACAAAATAGTGAATAATTGAGCTCAAGCTGTCACCTAGACGACCAGTCACTGATAGATAATATTTCTTATATCAGAAGTACTTGCTATTATTAGTTACTGTCTCAGTCTAGGCATTAAATATCCAATATCAAGGAGGAAAAAGAGAAACAGAAAAAAACTTTTTTTTGAAAATAAAACTTTGTTCGTACAAATTTAAATCCTTTGTTTTTCCTGTCCTACAACATAGCCTGGTATAGATGTCATAGTATGTATTTGTATAGCTTTTAACAAAAATATAGAAAGTTAAACAAAGTATAAAATATCCATAGTAATAGTCAATATATTTACCGTAAAAAAAAAAAAAAAAAAAAAAAAAAAAAAAAAAAAAAAAAAAAAAAAAAAAAAAAAAAAAAAAATCACAATTGATAAAGTGAAAAAAAGATGTCCTGCCTAGAGCTGTTGATGTCAAATTTAGAAATGTGTTTATATATATGTATGTAATTATAAAACTGATTTTTGAGTGGAAATAACTAAATATGGCCAGGATCGGAGCACTCAGACTATATTCTAGAGAATCGTTATCAACAGAGGGGAAAAAATCACTTACCATCTCAGATTTAACGGCGGCAATGTATTTTTCTCCTTTGGAAAATAAAACTCGTTCAAATATGGCCTGAAATAATCCTGTTTTGGGTGCAATACATTGTGCATGTGTTATGTAATTCCTAGCCGGTGTTTCTGTTATATTTCTGTATCCATTTTCAACGATTATCAACGGAATTAAGGGGTTGTTGAGCCGTCTCCCCTTGAATTTTGCATTAAAAACCTGCTTGTTATCGAGACACAAGACTATAATTAAAAGCAGCAAGAGATTCGCTGATTTGCTAATCGTAATCGTATCACGTGGTAGGTGAAGCCTGGGAAAAAACTGCAGACATAATTCTGACATAATTCTTTTAAGTAGATATTTCCAGGAAATACCCGCATAATTTTAGTCTAAATTACGGAAATCTCTGATAAAAGAAGAAGAAAAGATAAATATTGAGTAAACAATTCAAGCAGTGGAATAAACAAAATTTGGAAACGTAATCCTGACTCTGGACAATACTCAATGGAATTATTTTGATATTTGGTTATAGTTGGTATTTTGTGGAATCTCTAGAACGAGTAACGGTACATGTCAACTCTATTCAGGGAATGGAAAACTAAATATAATACTTTAGATTTTTTTACAATTCTTTCCAAATAAACAACTTGAAAAGCGAAGGCGTTACGACTGAGCTAACTATCTGCAAAAAAATAAACAAAAAATAAGCCGTATTTTCGCTATCATTATTTTTTTCCCCAGTTTTTTGCTGTAAACAGAGGCTAAAAAATATAGTACTCGGAATTCGGTACTTAAAATTCAGTAATACTCAGATCTTAAACTTGTGATTGGGAACTGAAACAAACAATTTCCTAAAAGCTCTATCGCCGGTTCAAAGGTCAAAGGTAAAGTAATTCATGCCCCTAATGACTATTGATGAAAAGTCGAGGGTGAAAATAATAATAATAATAATAATAATAATAATAATAATAATAATAGTAATAATAATAATAGTA